AGAATTTTTCTTACTCGACTGATATGACAACCGCATTCAGCTTGTTTGAAGTCCATCTCGACAGGAGGTCATAGGGCTCCATGGCTGAAATGAAACAAGTCACTTCAAGCATAGTCAATTACAGTTAAAAACAAATATGTAAAATAGGACATGTGCCTTTTGGCAGACACTTGCCAGGAACTTTCCAAAAACTCCACAGTTCAGTGCCTTCACAGCAACGTAATGCAAATAATGCGCACACAGCTTTATCTAGCAGGAGAGTTTAAACAAATGATTATACTGTAGTTTGAACATTATCCAAGGGGACATCCATGAAAAAGCAATACGTTATTTAAATTCTCAAGTGCAATGCATAAAATAAGGTCCAGAAAGCTTGAATTTTATAGCAAGGAAAAAAGAAAGTCCAAACTAAGCCAGGGGATGAGTTCACGAGTGCATCCATGCTGAAATTAGAGAGGTTGCCTGAGCTCTACTGAGAGCGGAATTTGGCTCAGGCTCTACAAGCCTGACAATTAGCGTCCCTACAAGTAGAGAACAATGCAATGTGAGCTCCTGAGTGATCATTAGGAATTTAAGCCTTACATACTACATTGATGATGCCAGTTTGGATGCTTGTCTAAGATGGTAATTTATAAGCATTTATTATTTAAGTCGTTAAAGTCCAATTAGAAAAAAAGCAGAGAATGTGTGCTCTGAGAAGGAATGTGACCAGGCTTCAGTGTGGAAACAAGCAAAAGCATTCAGATGAAGTATTAACAGGAAAAGCACAGCACAAAAATGAGATACGTTACAGCATGTCTTGCTGGAAATAATGTGGGAAAAAACAAAAAGCCAAATACAGGGTTAGTCTGCCATAACACTAAATTGACTAAAGCAATTAACTAACTTCTTCCAAGAGAATGCACAGCATTAGAAATGAAGATGTGATAAGAAAATTTTTCCTTAAAATTGGAAAGCACCTTCTAAATTATGAAGAAATCTGAAGCAAACACGTTCCCAAGAATACCCACCTACTCTTCACCTAACAGATAAACAATCATTTCCTTATGATATGCATTTGTCCTTTCCTTCTCATAGTCCTACCATCTATCTATGGGTGACACTCACTGGGGCTTATCAAACAGGTTCCACATAGATGTTCTTCATCTTTATATGGTACCAAAACCTCCTCATTATTCTTTCTTCCCCCATTTGTCATAGTGTAATAAGTTTATTTGTTATCTTGCAGTTAATGCACACAATTGCCCTATAACTGATACACATAGAGAGACTAGAACCTGCATCAGTCTTGAAGAAAAGGGCCTCTAACACTTGAATGAAAGAGGTTCTACTTCACCTGTTACAATAATATGTCTCTTATCTAATATGTCCCTTCCTGTAAACTGATACCATAAAACAGCAACACCTTACACTAGCAGCTGACACCTGCTACCCTAGCTAGTGAAAACAAGAAGCCCTGGTGCTTACCTGAGCCTCCAACGCACCACCCTCCTCCATGAATGTAAATTACTGCCCTTTTCAATTCACTGGACTGCTTCCTGGGTACATATAACCGAACTGGAACATTCTCAAATTCTGTATCTGTCACAGTGACATTTTCATCAGATGTTGCTGGAACATATTCATAACTTGTGATCATCATCAGAACTTCCATGTAGTGCATCAGACCCAGCCGCTCAGCTAAACCAGCCTGAGATCAAAGAAAGAAAGAGCAATGTTGAGTTTAAGATCACTACCTTGCATATCATTTGAGTTATATTTCTGAATTACATTTTAGGTTCAATTAGGGACCTCTTCTTTTCTTAACTCAATAAGGCTAAAGACAGATAGTCAAAAATCCTGAGGCTGGATCAATTCAGTCTTTCCAGGTTAGTCTAAACTGCACAGATTAAACTGAGAAACAAATGGACAGACATTCATTTTTGATTCAGGAAATGCAGCCACGTGCCTGCAGTGGGTCAAGCCAGAAGCCCCAGGGGTGCTACAGCACAGCTCTCTGGCACATAGCCAGCATGAGTTGTGTGTTTTCTTCCTTTTTCTACTGTCCCCGAGGTCTCTGAGATTTGCAGTCCAGAATTACAACAACCGTACTCTGCAGGGTTACTCATCACTTCCTCTTCTTTTTCCAGGTGCCTCTAGGATTTGTAGTCCACAGTAGCAGCCAGCATTAAGTTTTTAGCAGCGCAGAACTGTTCTGTACTCAGGGTAAGGGAAGCTTACCCCCCCTCCCTGGCCCCAAACCCCAGCCAGGGTTTGCTGGGGGGTGAGGAGGGGACAGGAAGTCCCTGCCTCCCCTTTACCCCTCAACCCTTCTCTGCCGGAGAAGACAAGACAGCCCAGCCCCTGGGTGGAAAGCATGCTGGGATGCTGAGGGACTGTGATTTAACTTGAACCAAGAAAGGGTCTGGGACAGAAGTTTCATAAACCGGTTTGACCCAACTCAGGTAAGTCTGATACTACATTCAACCAGGTTTATCTTAAACCAGTTTTAGCCATTTTGAAACTGGTTTATGTATATTGAAATTCTGTTCTGTTACAGGTTTAAACCAGTTTCTAATCACTTAAACCAGTTTATGTGCAACTTCCGGCCCTAGAGCTTTGCCATTGCCATCAATGGCTGAGTCTGTCACACATGCTTTGTAGATTTATCTTAAGAATAAGGGACCATTGCTATTAGTGAGACCATAGATGAACAACTGCAGAAGATAACCTTCCACTCCCAATATCCCACAGTGCCAAAACATGTCAACCTTCATTCTTTCTTCAACATAATATTCTGCAGATAGATCATTAGCCCTAGAAGGCAGACTGTCAGGACAGTTTTGGCCTCCCCAGAAATCTTTAAAATTGTCTACCAAAGAATCAATTCGATATACCTCACTTTTGACTTTTACTCAGGTGCCTTACAAAGGAGAAAGGCAAGAAAAGCACAGAACATTAACTTACAATTAATGGACACACTCTTAGACAGAGAAATTATGTCTACATCTAGTTTTTTGGTTGACAAGTTTCATTTATGTTATGATCTGAGGCTCCCTCTAGAACGTGTTTCCAAAATATACCAGAAACTTCACTTTAGCAGCTTTGTTCACAACTAATGTCCATGAAGAAAGAGGTTTAGGCAGATATTTTTATTGCTAAAAACTGATCAAAAAACTGAACATCACTATCACAAGGGAATCTGAGGAAATTACATGATAAATTTATTTAGCCCATGACATCATAGCTGATGGAAGCTGGTACTCACATGATGAAGTCAGAATAAAAAAGCCTAATGAAGCCATTCTTATTTAGTGAAGGGTACATGTCTTGTATCTCTGCAGGGCAGAATATTTTATTCAAAAGTAATAACTGATCTAAAGTAAAACTCAGAATTCCTTTGGGAGGCATTCTATAATTTTCATAGATTTATAGATTTCATAGACTTTTAGGGTTGAAAGGGACCTCAGTTCATCATTGAGTCTGAGCCCCTACCCTGGACAGGAAAGAGT